AAATCTTTTAGCTGTCCATTCTGGTTTTTGTGTACGGTTTGTAGGTCGGAGGAACAATAGGGTAGCCCATTTGGTGGCTAGGAAAGCCCTGTCATTGTACCCGGCTACATGCCGTTTCTTTGATTTTCAGGCCTGGCTGTCTTCCAGAATGTAACTATCTTTATTTGATCTAATGGATTATCTTTTGTAAAAAAAAAAAAAAAAACCTCAGGAGCTAATAAAGGGCACAATAGATGGAATAAGACTGGTTTTGGGAGATGGATATGTAGAGTGAGTAACCCTTTTCACTAAACTTTTCATAAAGTTACAATTAGGGGGGAAATCGTCATTATTAGTCACTATATTAATGCATATAATCTCAAATAATAAATTCATATTTTTCTTGGTCACTATCTAATAATGGTCCTTGATTACATTAACCACTGATATGAATGTTTAATCACACACAATGTGGGACCCAATCACATGTATTAAAAATGGTTAAGTACACTAAACAATCATTGTTTTGCTTACGGGATCATCAATTTAGGTAACAAAATTACAGTGGAGGTCTTTAATTATGGCAAAATGAGAACTATGGATTACAAATATGAAATATCCAATAAAGCTCAAGCATCACATTTGCGTATCAATTGGTGGTTAGAGGAGAAAAGGTAATCATGTCAAAGTATGTTACTAATTTTATAAAGTGGAGACCATTGAATTATTATTAATCAATATTTTTTTAAGCTATTGCCCTTAAAATGACACATCTTATGGATAAGATTGGAGAGGTAGGGGCCAACAGAAATGTATGTGGGAATTGAAAAGGGTTGAAAAGAGGCTATAGATTTTCATGTTGGGAGGACAATAAGGAGAAATTATAGATATGGTCACTATTTTTTTTTAACTTGTTTTGTCATTGAAATTTGAAGAATTCATGTAAAAGTCACTTCGCCTATTGGTATAAGGTTTTGTTGTTTAAAGTGTTCACATAAGTGTATATACTCACATAATCATTATAATCGATGAACTATTTCTTTCATATTAATTATATCCAAATCGAACTCGATTCAATTGTGACTCACATTACCCAGAAAAATTCTTACCTCTTCCTACAAATTCAAACCCCAGTCCGTCCGGGTATACATTACCTTTCCTACACCTGAAGTTAAGACAATTGTAATACAAACAGTTCATATGAAAAATCTTCTAAAATGTGTAAGTGATTTCCAAATTCCTATGATAGATTGAGCACGATACAAAGCTCGATAACCAATTCATGACTCACTCCAGATGTCAGTGACCATTTATGTAATTGATCAGGGAAAAGAAGGGGTTTTCTGGTAGGAACTAAGCTGGTGAAATGAAAAGCCAATTTAAGAGGGGAGAAAGGAAGTCTTTTGTTGCAATGAAGGAAAAGTACGACATTTGTGATGGGTTTTTTTGTTTCTTTGTTCTGTGGGGTTGTTTGATTTATCAGACAAATGAGTTGGAAAGGGCACTTGGGTGTCAATCCTAGCCACCTTAGAGATCCCTTGGCCTACTACATTTTGACAAGTGACCCTTTTCTTTTCTTATGTTGCATTTTTAAACATTTGTGTGTGCCTTTGTGTGAAGGCAAATGAAAGTTACATATGAATCCTTACTTTTTCTTTTTTGTTTGTATGAAAACTTCTATGAGTATCTCATTACTTTTCAGCTTCAATAAAGGGTTGTGAAAGAAAATTGCAAGAGAAGTGGTAGGTGGGCAATGGCATGACAAGCCACTTTCCTTCAAAATTTCTTACACCCCAAAACTTGAAAAATATGCATAGCTTAGTCAGCTTTTATGGATATGTCAAGTATTCATGAGATTACGTAGTTTCGTACGTATGTGTTGAGATCTTCCTTCTAAAGTAAAGAGTCATTATTTATTAGTTTTGATAACAAGAGAATTGGTCTAGCGGTAATATCACCTAATTTGAACTTAAGATCTTACATTTGAATTCTTAACTAAAACCTAATTACATACCGAACATATATCACCCTTGTAAATTTCTAAAGTTAAAGCCACCCACCTTTCTTCCTCTTCACCTCCCTTCCCACCCAATCATCCATTAAAATATATCAACTTGAACTAGTAATTATTTTTAGCAAAACAATGTAGTAAACCACATTGATTGAATTAGACTAATGAAGGAAGTCATGGCCCATGATGCAATATGTCTAGTTGGGTTTGAACAATTAACTTACTAATCCTATAACCTCTTTTGGAACTTTAAGAACTTATTTCAACATTGGTATGATGGTATCATAATCATTCCCCTCGTTCACCGTCGGATTGTCACGTCCACTACTTAATTATCCACTTAATCACACCACCAATAACATAATCGTGGTAACTATCACAATCCATCATCATTAATAATGAATTAATCCCGTGCTTAGAATTCTCAAAAAGTAAAAATAACGCGTGATTGTGTTGTTAAGAGAAAGAAAATTGCGATTAATTATGGTAAATAATGACCACCATTATCTCACTCTTGTCCAAGTCTCTTTATTAATCTCCTTCCAATTCCATATGAAACTCGTCATATTAAAATGAAAAGGAAGAAAAATAACTATCATATAGAAGATATAAGAAATTTTGTGTTTATCATTCCTCATACGATTAACGATCTTTGCTAAGAGTATTACTACATCATCTTTTATACGAATCTTATTAAATTAGTAAGAATCTTACCCGGTAATGTTGGATACAAGATTTTGTAGGTTTTGTTAACAGTGTGTGGTATAAGTTCAATCATTGAACATCACTCAACAACTCGAGTTATTGAGATCAATTGATTCTTGTCATGATATTTATAAATCGATGAATTTTTTGTTCAAATTCAAGTAACCTCATTTGTGAAGTACACTATATTCTTATACAAATCACTCACAACCATTCAAATTATTGAAATTAACTGATTTCTTATTTCCAAATTCATTTTACACAATCCTTTCCGGAGCCCACGTATAATAAACAAATGGGAAGGAAGAACGAGATATAATAGGCGACGAAGAGAGACCACCCGTACCACTAGAGTCCAATTAATTAATTAGGTTTTGATGAGTTAAAGAGAATTTTGTAATTTATAAGTTAGATCTATACCTCCAACTCCAAGCAAGTGAGACAAATAAAGAAAGACATAGTGGCCCTTAAGCACAACTAAAAACCAATTTGATGACCTAACTCCAAAAGTCAGATTGGAAGATAATTATAAATGAATGGTATAGCATTCATTTTCTTGAAATTTGGGGGAAAATATCCTTTAGAATTGTCGAGTTAAATAAAAGAAATTGTAATAGATTGTTGAAATCAAGTTTTTGTATTTTGAAAGGAGGAGGGGTAACTGTTATCTCGCGAAATGTTAATGTTTTCGCAGTATAATATGAATTTGCATGTTATGACCTTACATAACAAATATTAAGACGAAACTTCATATATATAGCTCCACTACCAGATGGATTGAATCTTGATATTATCATAGTAACTTCATTTATCGATCACAAAAATCCCTGTTCACCAATTAGTATAAGAGATTTATTATTGTGTCTCTTCCTAAAAGATTCTATTATTGAGAAAAACTGATAATCTCGACATCAAATTGAAAAAAAATGAGAATGAAAATACCAAAAAAAGTGAAAAAGGCAAATTGGCCATTGTTGATGTTTACTTAGCAATGTGGATGGCCGGCCAGCCAGCCAGCCAAGTTTCCATGTGCAAAATCCATGCAAGCGGCCAGAAATCTCTGCTGCTTAGTGCTCTCCATATTTTCCCCCTTCGAGTCTCCACAAAAAGGAAAAAGGAACGAAACTATTCGGAAAAAGGAAGAGAAAGCACCACCTTCTTCTTCTCTTTTCTCCCATGTCATCTCCACTCTCATTTTGGAGAACTGGATAGAATTTAGGGTGAATAGCTTTGTTAGTCCATGTACTACTTTTATTTTAACAATCCAATCCTCTAATGTTACGTGTTTCAAACAAGTTACGACATTTAGTTATCTGTTTTTAATACGTTAAAATTTGAAAGTCTCATATGAATTCGTTATTCATAAGTATGTTTATTACAATTAACATCACAAGTCATATACGTTAGAAATCTTATTCTCGCCACTTTATTATATTCAGAAAATTATTAAGTGAACTCGATCCTTTCGAGTCCTATATGACAAATGCACATATGGTATAAATGAGAGGAGGTATTGAGCCCTCAGACCAATTGAAGGGTAAGGAATGTATTTTTTTAACATACATGACATGTGAGTCAGCTAGATTAGCACCACCCATCAATACTTAATAAGTACATTTCTAATGACTTTCCAAGTCATGTACAATGTACATATCTAACTCTAGCATAAATATATTAATATCACCATATATATTCTTCCAACATCATCTAGACTCGACCCTACGAAATCCTAAATAACTAAGGCACGTTAAAAGACGATTAGAAGACATATATAAAATCTTTTAGTTTGATAAAAATAAGCTAAACAAAAAATTGTCGAACATTCGTCGTCATCTAAAATGTGTTTGTTGAGCATTAATCAATCGCAATTGCAACTAACTTCGGTCAAACTTTGAACAAAATGACATTAGCCAAATGACATACATATGTCTTGAAAGTTTTTCTTATAAATAATATAACAAGAAGATTAACCTATGGTTAAACATTCTTCTAATCTAATCTCAAGATGCGAAACTTAAACAACTATCACATGGGGATTAGTACCCAAAATGCCAAGTGAGCTTATCCTTCTTTGTCCAATGACACATTAGTTTAGAAATATACTTTAGATTATACAATTCCATTAATATAATGTTTTTTCGGGAACCCCAAAAAAAACATCCAATTAAAAATATTCGCTTCCCGTCCCCCAATTCCCTCACTACACCTCTCCTCTCTTTCACTTACCTCTATAATGGACTTTTTCCTCTTCGCCCCCTGCAACTTTTTTCCTGACAAACGAGGACAAAATAATTCCACTATGTCCTCATTTGATCTTCTTGTTGTCATCTTCTTCTTCCTCCTCACTCTGTTCACCACTGAACTCATCTGCTGCTTCTCCTTCCTTGCTCACCTCCACCGCTCTCTTCTCCTGCTCCTCCTCCACCGTCTCGAAATGCCTGCCGATACCGCCGCGAGTCGCCGCTCTCACCTTGAGAATCTCCAGCAGCTCCGCCACTGCCTTGTCCTTATCCCTCCGATTCTTAATCAACACCTCGCTCACGTCCGCCGGGGTCATCTCCGCCTTATCAATCACCGCCTCGATCTCGTTCCAAACGCCGGCGGCGTTTGGTTCCTGGACGCCGAGATAATTCTTCAGGAGAATCTTCAATGCCGGGAACGAACAGTAGCTCATGAAAATGTGCATATCCATCCTCCCGCTCCGCAACAGAGCCGGATCCAGCTTCTCCACGTGATTCGTCGTGAACACGAAAATCCGCTCGCTGCCGCAGCACGACCACAATCCGTCGGTGAAATTCAGCAATCCGGAGAGCGTTATCGAATTCCCTGACTCGTCGGAGCCACCACCGGCGGCTCCTCCTCCTCTCATCTCCGCCGCCGCCGCCTCGTAGAAACTCGACGAGCCTCCTCTTTTCCCGCCGTTTGAGCAGCTCTTCTTCCGATTCCCGAGGTTAATCGAGCAGTCGATGTCTTCAATCACGATAATCGACTTGGAGCTCGTCTTCATCAGCAGCTTCCTGAGCTCGGAATTGTTGTGGACCTCCGTCAATTCGAGGTCGTAAATGTCGTAACCTAAGAAATTGGCCATTGCGGCGATCATGCTCGACTTCCCCGTCCCCGGGGGACCGTACAGGAGGTAGCCTCGCTTCCAGGCTCTCCCCGTCCGCTGGTAAAACTCCTGCCCTTCCGCGAAATCCCTCAGATCTCGCATAATTTCGAGCTTCTTCGCCGGATCCATGGCCAGGGTCTCGAATGTGCTCGGATGCTTGAACGGGACCGACTCCCACGGATGTCCCCTCGCGTCCAGAGATCCGCCGCGAGAATTCGTGTACAGCAATCGGTCCTGATTCTTGCGGCGAATCTCCGCCGCCCGCTCCATAATGTAATCGAGGTAGGAGTCGAGGATTAGGGATTTGTCGTTCTTCCGGATGCGGAGGGTGAATCCGCGCTTCTCGTCGGGCAAGGGGCGCCAGGAGAAGGTCTGGGAGTGGCGCTGGGTGACGACGTGCTCCCAGAGGACGGCGGCGCCGTTGAAGGAGTCGGCGATGGAGTCGTTGTTGGCGAGGCTGAAGGTGACGGCGGAGGAGTTGACGGCGCGGGTTAAGGAGAGGCGGGTGCCGGAGATGGAGACGGAGGAGGAGAGGTAGAGCTGGACGGCGTTGTAGAGCTCGTTGGTGTTGACGCCGTCGATCTCGGTGATGTCGAAGTAGACGTAGGAGGAGAAGAGGCTGAAGAGGCGGCCGGTGAGCTTGAGGATGGCGTAACGGAGCTCCGGCGGGAAGATGGAGCTGACGATGCTCTGGCAGAAGGCGAGGACGCCGAGCAAGGAAGCCAGCGAAGTCCAGTACTCTTTCATTTCTTTTGTTTGTTTGAAAATGGAGGGGTTTTTTTTTTTTTTTTTTGGGTGGAGAGAGTGTTTATTTGTTCCTTGTGAGAGAGGTTTGGGAGCTGTATTTATAGAGGGAGGGGAAAAGGGAGGGAAAGAGAAATGCACAGCCGACTCGGAAATATGACTTCCATATATATAGCTTCATTTTATTAATTAATAGTCGGTTGATCAAATAATCGAATTTCGGAATTTGTTTGACAAAATAAATAATGATATCAAATTTTTATTCAATTTTTTTATTTTCAATCCATACTATATTGTGATTAGGTGATTTGAGTCAACTCACTCATAAATCTCACATTCTTATTCATAACTTCATCTACCATCTACCACAAAAGGTTAGTGAATTGTGTGACTCTCTAATCACTTCACACAAGTACATATCGTCGTATTTTTTAGTATGTACATGTTTTAGTAAGCTTTTTATGTCCTAAAAATACTCATTTTACAACTATTCACTTGTTTTAATTTTTTTTCTCAACTCACATTATTGTTATTTTTTCATCTACTACACTTGATTTTTCAAACACGCGAATTGTGTTACCATCTAATCATTTCACTCATTGATGAATTTTGAGCAGCAAATGCATATGCAGCCGTATATCCAAAGATTTTTCATGTCTCACTTAAAATTTCACATCATTACAACGAAAATGAAGAATACCCCATACGAGTTTAATACAATTGAACTCCAAAAATCTATATGAAATGAGTACGTTATATCAACCAACTCGACTACCCTCCTCTTTCACCTACACATTGAATTAGCACCATGTACCCCCAAGAAGGACAACTTGTGCCCTGACACTATTCATCACAAGGGTACACTCAAAAGTATGTGATAGTGTGTCACCATATACCCATCCATGAATAGTTATCAAAATTTAACATAAAAAATGCCGAGTTCAAAATAAGCAAACTCTTGAACCTATATGAAACGAGTACGTTATCTCAACCAATTCGACTACCCCTCCAATTAGCACCATGTACTACCACATGAATGACAACTTGTGCCCTGCCACTATTCATCACGAGGGTACACTTAAGTATGTGTTAGTGTGTCACCATATACATAATACATTAGCTTTGTGTCCATGCATGGCTTGTTATCCAAACTTAACACAAAATGCCAACACCTACTAGGAGAGAAGCAGTGTGGGGGAGGGAAGAAGAAGAAGAAGAAGAAGAAGAAGAAGAAGAAGAAGAAGAAGAAGGGGAAAGATTCGTTTTTGTTGTTGTGGGTGGTGGGTTGCTTGCTGTGCTTGGATTGCTCTGCCCCTGCAGCTAGCTAGCAGGGCTGAGGCCAGAGAGAGCTGACAAGAAGAGTGAAAGGTTAAGACTGTGAAATGAGAGGGAGAGAGAGAGAGAGATGAAATTTGGATAGAAGAGCGCAGAGGAAAGGAAAGGGAACCAATGGAGAGGAAGGAAGAGTTGACGACAATGAATGAGGTCAAAGGAAAACAGTTGTTGTTATAATAAGAGCTAACCTCTGGTTTCCTGAATCCATTGATGGACAGGTGAGGCAGAAGAAAATACCTAAAGACGTCGAATTCCCATAAAGCCCACCATGTCGCATTTTTCATGAGTTTATGACAATTGACAAGTTGTTGTAGCTTGGTTCGAGGATACGGTCCAGACAGTTCGATTCATTCAAGTACGTAGTTTTACAATCTACAATAATAATGTCGTTACCATTTATTAGCACGGTAGGCATAGATCGTTATCGTGTGTATCGGATCTATATTGAAACCGCGGCTCAACCGTCGGGTGATTGGGTTAGCTCGTCTACATATGTATGTGCGGTGGCTGGCCAGCAAGGCAAATGGCCAGTGGGAGGCTATGAATTGTAGAACCCAATGCTATGATGTGGCTGATTTCCTAATTCCAGGCGGATTTGCTACTCTACCAACTGTCAATGGACCCCTTGTTGCCCTGCTTTAGCTATCCCACATTTCCCCTGCCTGGCCTTTTCCCCCTTCCAATTTTTAACATCACTCACTTCTTTGGCTATCAATCGGCCAAGCTGCCTCTTCTAAGTTCTATCTGCATATGTGTGATTCGAAATCATGATGGTACTCCCCAAACCCCAAATAGTGAAACATAATCATTTACAAAGTAATGATTAAGTACCTTCCTCACTCTCAATCATGTGAATGGGTTGTACCTAACGGGTTCCTGAACAAAACTCAGATGTGAAAAACTAACAAAATCGAAATGTGTGAGAGAGGGGATAATAATACATGAATACTCCTGCTGTAGCTGTGGCTGGGCTCATAATCCCAAAAGAACGAAATGTGTTCCATCTCTATCGCCATTGTTCTGTACAATAAATTTTGTTTTGGGTGGCCATTAATGAAGGATGAAAGAGATCCTCTTTGGATGTCGTTACCGTGAGCCCTCTTCTCTGTTCTGGAGGACCAGTGGCCCAGAAATTTTTTGTGCACGTTTCTCAAATCGCAGTGGCAACTGGCAAGGCATGCACAGGCCAATTTTTGGGTTCAGATGGCGCCAGCAAATGGTTTGGTTGAGGGTTTGGGGCTTGGGCTTTGGCCACACTGACAAGCAATGTAGGTTTGGCTTTATTAGCTGCAGACTGCATTATCTGAGGCTTTTGAGTGTATCCAAAGCAAACATCCGAGGCCCTCTAGTCTGTTGTGTAGTGTAATGTGTCTTCTTATACTCAACTACTATGATTCGACACCAGAGGTGGTAATCGATCGACTTATTCTTCGATCGATTATCGATCTGGTTCGAATCATAAATGAACCAAAAACAAGACAATGAGACCACCGTAGCTAATGGAATTGGATTGGATCATCGATCATTCATCACCAATGTGGGTCATTACGTGTAGGGATCATATCATGTTTGAATTATATCAAATTCAAAATTAATACATGTTCCATTATTTTCGAACATGACGGGCAATGTTCTCCGATTTTAGTTGTATATCTTGCACAAGATTTTGGAATTGCACACTCAGTCGTATACTTGTACTTTCTCAACCGTTTAGAATCGACGTTTTGGTGGAGTCACATAAGATGGCACCAAATTTGGAGAGAACTAAGAAACTTGATAACATGGACGGACCATTTCAAGTCTTTAACCAATACCCAAACCAAACCTCAACCTTGAATCCCAGACTCCAAACTTGGAGACTTTCAGACCAAGATCTCCCAATCGAACCCTCAACCAAATATGGATGATGGTTTACAGTAAACAGTTTGGAAAATTTCCCTTCTCAGCACTAGCATACCAAAAGGAAAAGGAACTACAGCGAGATCCGACGTAACACTCTAGACTCCAGTTTCCCTCTCAAAATCGAATGCTCTCATGAAGCTGATGTAATAAGTTTTAAGTGCAATAACGACATCAAGGTTTCATAACGTCAGCAGTGAAGAGTAGCCACAGCAGAAATACAGTAATTCTCAGTCGACGAAAGCACCAAATTAACGATCCTAATAGGAAACCTATATACTGTGGGGGGGTTTTGGATTTCAATTCATGTTGCATCCCCATAGTAGGGGAGCTGCCAATGCATTCAATCAATGGCAATGATGAGAAACCCGACAGATACGTACATGAGAAAGACGGGATAGAGTGCGAGGGCCTTTCGCCTCGGATTCACTGCTGAGCTCATGAAGGGGTATGCTGCCCAGGAACTCCAAGCTAAAGTAACGCAGACCACCACTATCTTCAGGATCACGTTGTCCTGCAACATGCAAATTAGGGCTCCCACGTCCAAAGGGAACAGACAGTAACCTAGAAGGCTAAGACTCTGGAAGAAGATAATGTGCCCACCCTGCAGAAAATAGAAATATTTCAAGACCCCTCTTAGCATCCAAGATTCAGATAACTATAATTTGGAATCCGGGGAGACGCAATTAAAGTGACGGAATCTCGAAGAGAATAGAGTGGGAGGAATGAAGAGCTTACCAGTAGCAGAACATTCAAAGTCAAAATGACAGCACCAGCAGCAAGTAGAGCAAATGCAACAGCAAAAACCTCAGACTGCAAACAAAACAGAGAATTTGTTAGGGCTGCCATAACAAACACCAATCCTTGCAGCAAACAGATGCACTTAAACCTGGAACGCTTCGTGATGAATTGCATACTTTTATGGTTAGTCCAATCATTCAATATCGGATCACCAGAAAACTCTCACGTACAACAGTAGAGACATTTACCCTGGTTTTCTAGTGGAAAAGTAAGGCACCTTTATGTAACTGCAAATAGACTACACTGGATCATAAGTGTATAACTTCAGGTGGGATAGGTTAAACTTCATTTCTTACTCTACCATGCCCCATTAAAAGTAACTTTGCCGATAACATTGTGATACTGATATCCAAGCCACCAAATCATCTTGGCAGCTAGAAAGAAACAACTTAACCAGGAAACAAGTTGTGCATCATAAACCCCAATAACCATCAATGCAACAAGATGTAGCCAAAACCAGAAAAGTAGAAGGGAATGATCTAACTACAATCTAACTCATTCCTTCCTACTTCCATTTCATTTCCAGAAGTTCACCAGAGTAACTAGCATTGTAGTAGATGCTTGTTAAAGGCCAAAAGCAAACTAAACCCTTCACCTTCAAAGCAACTAGAAACAAGCAGAATATAATCCAAATGATGCCTTTGGAAGCCAAGCTGCGAGAGCAATACATTTGATCACTACATATGCAGAGGCACGATCGCCAATCAGAAATTTCTATAATTTCTCGTACTAGGATACCTAAGCCTATGACTACAGCTCATTCGTTCAAATCCTAGCAGATAAAGAGCTTCTCACCAAGCAAAATCTCAAAATCGAAGTCAAAACCACGAATTGGAAGTTAAGCTGACCTTCTTCACAGAGGCGGACCAAGAGAGGACGAGCCCCAAGAACACGATGAAGAAGAACGGGCCCCAAAGATCCCAATCCCTCAACGCCTTTCCTGGATCCTCCCTAAACGGATTCGGGAACACCACCAGCTTCAAATTACTCACGATCCTCGACAGATCTCTCTTCACCGTGTCCCATACGGGCTCCGTCAACGTGTTCGGAGCTGGGCCGAATCCAGATGCCGCGAAATTGTTCGATCCGGCTGAGTTCGAGGGCGGGGGCGCGGGCCCGGGGACAGTGGCGGGAAGCACTGAAGGCGGCGCGGAGGACGACGGGAGAGGGGGCAGCTTCGCTGCCGCCGTCGACGGTGGTGGGAGGTTGGACTGGAGGAACGGAGAGGAGGAGACGGGGATCCGCGGCGGACTCGGTGGGCGGGCGGGTTGAACTGTCGCCGGGCCCGACTGGACGCTAGCGTTGATTAGATTCTCGATCTCGTCGATGTCCGACTGCGAGGATGAGTGGAGAGGGATGGTGTCGCTGTGCGACATTTTGTTTTCCTTCTTTCTCTCGATTCACCGCTTTCTTCCCCCTCTGAGAATTTTCCCGGCAAAGTGATGGGAAATTTTCCTGCAGCGGAGATAGATCTGCGTAGGGATGAAAAATCCGAAGCAAAATCTCGGACCGGTGCAGGCGTTTATCAGGCGCAAAAACGGCGTCGCTTTCACGTCATTTTGAGGGGAACCAAAACCTTTATATGTTTCCACAAATTGTTTCTCTTCTAATTAATTTCATTTCTTGGATGAATCGTCTCTCTTTCCTCTTCAAAAAAAAAAGACCTTTTGCTTAATTTTTGTTTGTGTCATGTATTACGGTTGGGCTTGCAGCCCACAATTCCAGGACCAAATTCTGAAAGGCCATATGTCAATGGGTAGATCTTCATTTTCTTCAAGCCCAACGTAGGAATTTAGAAGCCCATCCATGTTCTGTTGCCTTGATTTATCGATTTGGGGAAGTATACTGTATACGACGGCTTGGTGGTGGCGTGGGATAGTGGGAAATGTTGCCATGCCAATCCTTCGGTGCGTAGCTAGGCACCCATGTGAAAGACTTCACTCCGGTGGCCGCTTTTGGAAGGAAAGTGGAGCTCGATCGGTAGTCAGTAGTCACATTGCTTGCGATAAAGTGACCGGTTTAGTGCAATTGGTGCAAAGCGACCTAAGTATACAACATTAATGCCATTCAATATCCAACAACTTTATGTCTCTTGCAAACAACCTAGCCTAAAAGAGAGAGGTTACAAAGTAGCTAACAAATTCCAATTAATGTATAAATTACTTTCGTTGTGGTACTAACGACTTTATGGTTATTGAGAGTAACTAATTATATCATGGTATCAGACAATTTTGAAACATGAATGTTGTAATCCGGATGCTGATACATTGAAACTTGATGTACACCTATGTTGCTAGACTTTTGTGTTTGGTAATACAAATGTACCCAAAATTTCATTTAAAACCAGCCAGAATCAAAGATCAATAACAAAGCATAGTACCTGCTACGTGAATACAATGCAAACCCAAAATTAATAAGTGACCTCGTGCCAGTAATTAGGTAATGAGCACATTTATTATCCTCTATGAATATAAAAGATGACAACAACTCAATCTCCCTTGATGGCTAGATTTTCATACAAAGGTCCTCTTCCCACCAAAACATCAAACACAAATTTTCTTTAATGAAACAAGAGGACCAGAGCTTAGTAGATTAGTATGCAAAATCAAGCATCCTTTAATTAGAACTTTTTATTTAGTATATATCGTGATATATAACTCTTCCAATATTGCAAATAATTAACTAGCCAAATTAAACCCAAAAAAAAAATGTGATGAACAAAAAAAAAAAAAAAGCGAAAGTAGCAATTCAAGGAATATGATACAACTTGGAAGGCTTGAGATCCTTGGTAGCATTAAAATACTTCAAAGTCTCGATCCACTTGGGCTGGTTCTTCAACAAGTGAACCGCAATCGTGTCCGGCCAGAACTCATGCGTGCAGCCCGACGGCGGCACCGGGAAGTTGTACATCGACCACTTGGCATTGTGCCTGTTCCTCCCCCGCCGCCCTTCCTTGAGCCACGCTCCAAACACCTTGTCCTCGGGCCCGTCCAGGTGGTTCCTCGGAATCTCCGATTCTTTTATCCACTCCACGATGTCCCACGACACCAGGTATCCCATCCCCGACATGTACTCCACGAACGGGTCCATGCTCGGGCACGGGATCACGTACCCGTAGTACAGGTCGTCGCGCGGCAGAGGACGCAGCGACGACACCAAGTTCCCCAGCCGGAAGTAGGAGTCGTCGTCTCCCTTCATCACGTAGTGGTACGGCGGAGATGGAGGAGGAGGTGAAGATTCGCTACTAGTGGTGGTACCATTGCCATCGTCTGCTTGTGTCACGAGACAGAGGTAAATTTTGGGATACAAGAGGTAAACGCAAAACATTTCTCCAAAGAACTGCCTCGAACTCTTGTATTTTGAAGGGGAAAAAATTGCAAACTGGGATATAGTGAGATTTTCTTATAATAACTTCCTTGCACTAAATTTCAGTTCTTGTTAGTTATCTTAATATTGATCAATTTTATACGCTAATAATGAATCTCTAATTGACATAATTTATATTCTAAAAAGAAGGACGTCACACCTGATTTCAACATCTTCTGACTGTCGTCGGAGAACATGTCGGGAAGGCTGGAGAAGTAGGTGAAGGTCTTGCCGTTGTTCATGTTCTCCTTGCAGTCGAGGATGATAATGTCGTCGTACCGCATGATCTCGAGGGCGACGAGCACCGTCTGGTCGTCCTTGGTGAGGTTGCAGAAGACGAATTTCACGTCGATCTTGGCGCCCTTTGGAACCGGTTGGGTGCCGTAGACCATGCGGAGGAAGTGGCGGCGAGGGTACTGGTCGGGCAACGTCAGGATGCCGATCAGGATCCGGATCTCATCGTCGGCGGCGGCGAGATTATTAGTAGCGTTTGAGGAGGAGGAGGAGGAGTTGAAGGCGGCGTTGGTGGTGGTGGTGGAGGTGGAGATGGAGGGATATTGTAGCTTGGAGATGGCGCATTGGCCGAGGTGGAGGAGGCGGTCGAAGCGGACCTCGTTGATGGAGGCCAAGAGGCAGAAGAAGAGGATGAAGGCTATGGAGGAGAGGATGAAAGGGCGGTGGTGGACATGGCGGGAGTATGCCTTTGTGAGGAGCTTCATTATTCTTTTGTTTTCGTGGGGGAAGAATGATTTTGAGAAGAGGGAAAAGTGGGGGCTGGTTGAGAGTTTAGACTAAAATGGAGGAGTTGGGGGGAGTTGCTTTTTGGTGGCTTTTACTTGGATAGAAAGCACCAATTTGACTTTCGATTCCTTCTCTAGCTAAGCCAAAGTGGGAAGAAGGGGGGTATAGTACTATGCATTTAGTGCATTTGCACGTTTATGTATCCAGCAGTTGATTGTGTTTAAAGGGAGAGAGTTCGACTCATTCCTATGAATGAAGTGAGACTTGGAGATTGGGATCCAAGCCATCGGTGAAGTTAGACATAATGATATATTTATATTGTGATCCATTCTTTATAGATTTACCCGCGGTTATTAGTTACAAAGAAGTACTCGATTGGTTGGAGTTTCTTTCATGTGATGAAAAAGGAAATTAAAAAATGAGCAACGATCTAATTTCGTTCTCATAATTTTAAATGTAGTCAACATATGAAATTAGATCAGATCGAATATAATACAGCTGATTAGATTTTAATTCCATGAAATTACTTTGTTAAGAAAACAAATGCATACATATTGAACCAAAATCAGCATAATCCTCATTCCAAATAATGGATTCGCAATTTCGCATTCATTCTCGATTTGTTTCATCTTCTAACTTCCCAGTACTAGACCAGACTTGATCATCCCCCAGCACCTACCTATGCCTTTCTTTGGGTTCCTGAATGGGCTTTGTGCAACAATTAGTTAGTAGAGTTTATGGGCCGTACTACTAAAACTGCCAAAGTTTCTGGTCTCTATCAAAGATTAAGCCCAGCGAGAAGCTTAGAATAACTTTACTTAAACCGCTAATAAGGCCACAAGTTTAGAACAAAACTACAGCTAATTATGTATTTCTTAATTAATTAAGTGTATTATGGGGTTTGGTAGTGTAGACAAATGAATGAATCGATTCTCATTCTCTCCTGCAAAAAGCCACCATAAAGGACTTTCTCCTCTTATTATGAAGTTTGGCCCATTCTAAGCTAGTTCTAAATCAAATATTAAACTTGTATTAGCCATCAAGACGTGTATACATTTTCCTTTAATCAATTTTACACTATTATCATTTCTAATGAATATGGACACTCCCTAACTTTTGATCGTGTAAAGGTCAATCATATCATTCGATTTAATAGGTGATTGAATATTTAGAAAATACGTGTTGTAATTTATAATCCACTAATTTATGTCTATTATCCGTTTCACCGGTTTGATCTCCGCCGATCATCGGACGTTCCCATCGTGGTTGTATGAAAACCACCATGGATGACGTGTCCACCGGTTCTCCTCTACCATCACCTAACCAACTACCCCTGCATATTTAACCTCCCGCCAACGCCCCTTAATTACCCAAACCCAGGAGAAAGAAAAAACAAAAGAAAACTCCCGTTACCAAACACCCACCCAATTCCCCTCTTCCTCCCTCCGCCGCCGCCTGAAATCCCACCCTTTCCTCCTCCGTTTCAGGCGACGGCGGCGATGGAATCCCAAAACAACCACCACCTCGACGACGAATTCATCTTCCGCTCCAAACTCCCGGACATCTACATCCCCCAACACCTCCCTCTCCATTCATACTGCTTCGAGAACATCTCCCAATTCGCCGACAAGCCCTGCCTCATCGACGGCGCCACGGGAACCACCCACACCTACGCCGACGTCGAGCTCGCCTCCCGCCGCGTCGCGGCGGGACTCCACAACGAGCTCGGAATCCAGCAGGGTGACGTCATCATGCTCCTCCTCCACAACTCCCCTGAATTCGTCTTCTCCTTCCTCGCCGCCTCGCACCTCGGCGCCGTCGTCACAACGGCCAATCCGTTCTACACCCCGGTCGAAATCGCCAAACAGATCGCCGCCTCCAAGGCTAAAGTCGTCATCACGCATTCCAATTTTGCCGAAAAAATCAAATCGGAAGTGAAAATCGTCACGATCGACGATGCTCTGTTTTTGAAATTCTCGGATCTGGTGAAGGGAGGCGGAATTGATCCGATCCTGCCGGCGGTGAAGATAAATCCCGACGACGTGGTGGCGCTGCCGTATTCTTCGGGGACGACGGGGCTGCCGAAGGGCGTGATGCTGACGCACAGGGGGCTGGTGACGAGCGTGGCGCAGCAGGTCGACGGCGAGAATCCGAATCTGTATTTCCATCGGGACGACGTGATACTCTGCGTTTTGCCGCTGTTCCACATCTATTCATTGAATTCGATCATGCTATGCGGGCTGAGGGTCGGGGCGGCGATTCTGATCATGCCCAAGTTTGAGATTGGGGCTCTGATGGGGCTGGTGGAGAGGTACAAGGTGACGATCGCGCCATTCGTGCCGCCGATCGTGCTGGCGATTGCGAAGTCGCCGGAGATTGACCGGTACGACTTGTCGTCGATAAGGATGGTGATGTCCGGCGCGGCGCCGATGGGGAAGGAGCTCGAGGATGCTGTTAGAGCCAAACTGCCTAATGCCACGCTTGGACAGGTATAAAAAACCAATTAAATGGCGCATTTCAATCTTTTCATTGTCATTTTGGTTAAAGATCGGGTTAGAAATTAGAAGTTGAACCATTATGAATTTGTGTTAAATCAAAAAGTTTCGTAGTAAAATCTCAATGTTCTAACGACCATCATGAGTTAGGATCACAAAATTCTGTTACATCATTAGTATCTATTTCAATAATTAAATTCGGGAAATAGTTTGTATACCATATTTGTAATGATCAAATCGTAAGTTGAAAATTTGCAATAACTCAAAATAGTTTTCTGATAAAGCTCTAACAAAATCTCAACGTATTGATCACTATCATTCGTTACCATTATAATTTTTGTCATGTATCTATCGACAACTACATTAATTCGAGAAAGTTTTCTCCAACAATTTTTATATTTTGAACTATGTGTTTGATATTTGTTTGCTATCGACGTGGACGTATGACGTTCATGTTGGAGGTAGGTAGCATTTCACTCTACATAAAATCAATTTCATGGTTGGAATTATTAATTGTTACTAAGTAATAAGGTATGGCTGATGTTTTGGCGGGGCGATTGTAGGGTTACGGAATGACGGAGGCGGGTCCAGTGCTATCAATGTGCTTGGCGTTTGCCAAGGAGCCGTTTGACATAAAGTCCGGCGCCTGCGGGACGGTGGTGAGGAACGCCGAGATGAAAATCGTCGACCCGCCCACCGGCACATCTCTTCCCCGGAACCAGGCCGGCGAGATTTGCATTAGAGGCAGCCAGATTATGAAAGGTTCGTATTTTCTTTTTGGGCTTTTTATTTTCTCGCTTGTTTTTTCCTAATGGACCTGGGCCGACCACGTCGCCCTACCCAGCAATATTCGAGGTCGTTAGGCTATACAACAACGCGTACCCAAAACAAGTTTGTACTAGTTTTGTACCACGTAACGATATACCCAAAAAGGAAGGGTGTACCACATGACATGATGCGTGGGCCGCTTGTGGCCCAAGAAATGTGGGCTGTTTTTTAGCGGTCCAAAGTTGTAAATGGGTTTGTTTGTTTGTTTCAGGCTACTTGAATGACCCGGAAGCGACGGCGAACACGATGGACAAGGAAGGGTGGCTACACACCGGCGACATAGGCTACATCGACGACGACAGCGAGTTATTCATCGTCGACAGGCTGAAAGAACTGATCAAGTACAAAGGGTTCCAAGTTGCTCCGGCGGAACTCGAAGCCATGTTGCTCGCGCATCCCAATATCTCCGATGCCGCCGTTGTCCCGTAAGTTGTTTTGTTTGTTAAGAGTTAAAAAGAAGAGAGTGTCTTCAAGAGAACGTTAATTATTAAACGACAGGGTTTGTTGTCGTTTTGGGCAGGATGAAAGATGAGAGCGCCGGAGAGGTCCCTGTGGCGTTTGTGGTGAGATCGAATGGTTCCAAAATCAGCGAGGACGAGATCAGACAGTACATCTCCAAACAGGTGATATTCTACAAGAGAATCAGTCGGGTGTTTTTCACGGACTCCATTCCTAAAGCTCCGTCGGGGAAGATTTTGAGGAAGGATTTGAGAGCCAGGTTGGTTGTCGGCATTCCCGCTTAATTATTAGATATAAACAGTGATGTTGTAGTTTAACATTGCAATTTGGGGAAATCCTATGCTTAATTATCGAGGTGGTTGTTTTTGTGTGGATGTAAATTATGGGAATGGGGGGAATTGAGTAAGGACCAAAATGAAGGTACTAATCATATAGATTCAACCTTTTTTTGTGTAATATGTCGTGCCTGTATTCTGATTTACAAATAATGTTATGGAGGTGGGTGTTTGGTACATGTATCTTCTTTGTGTAGTATAGTTAAGAGCAGAGTTCAAAAAGGCGTGTTTAGGTATGAGCTTAGGTACGTTTTGGTGTTAGATAACATCAAAACGACTCGCTTAGAAATTCAAAAGTTAGTAAGAAATTTAGAATGCGGTAGTTAAGTACGGTCACACTTAGATTTCACCTAGACATAATTAGGCTGAATTAAGTAGTCAATATCAAAAGGAGGAGGAAATCAACCTCATATACAAGCTCAATTTTTTTGTCCACGAAAATAAATCTTATTATGTAGTTAATTATTTATCGCTTTGTGTTATCATATGTGGTGATGGAGGATAAGTTGTTGTAAGACATTAAGCAAGATCGATCGAATGACTTATTCAAAATATCAGTTGGTACTAACATTTCAATAGACTTTATTATGATCCGAATTAGTGAATTTATATGATCCGAATTAGTGAATTTATTTTTTTATATGCGATGATGATAAGGACTATTTTGCACTAAACGAAGAAGAAAAGAGAAGTATACCATGCATTTGCATATACTCTTTAGGGTTAGACAGGCAAATATTCTGAACCAATTAGAGTTCAGTCAAATTATGCCCAATTATCAATCACTCACTCCCATGTGGAACCCAATTAAAGTATTTGCAGCTAACCAAATTGTCCTACTTCTTATTAATGGACACATTGTCATGCTGAGTCAGATTGTGTGAAGATGAGAAGTAATCAGGAAAGAGCTAGCTAGTTATTTGGTACAATTAATCATGTTGTGTCAAGAACTCAAGATTAATTGATTAAACCAATTGATGATGCATGACAACATTCATATTTGTAGAGGGAACGGATGTATCATAAGATTTATTCCTCGACCACGTCGAGTTAATTACGACGTGAAATGAGTTTTAAAATAATGATTACAACTTTTAATTGCACTGAGACTGTGAGAGATCATGTTTTCTGGTTATGGTAAATCTTAATATAATTGTTTGCTTAAACACAACGTAAGGTGTTCTTAAAGGCAAATTTAAAACTCCATAGATGGACATTCATCATTTGAGGGTGGGCATACAAGAGAATAATATAAGATATATAACTGGGCTAGTTGCAAGGAATTTGACATTAGAGGTTAGTATGGTTCAATATAAAGTATTTTTTTCGTGTGTGAATGATCTTTTTTTATAATGACGATAAACTAGAATTATTAAGAAACGAAAAATAAACTGTACTAGCTACGGAGATCACAAGAATTGATCTCACGAAGCAAAGAGAAACACTCAAAACAACCCCAAGAATGAAAAACCAATTTTTTGTTTTACTTAATTACTCATGTAGAGCTTGCTATCTTCATGGACACATAAAGTAGTCGGATTCGAGTATTTAGTACAGACTGTATATAGTCCACATGATTACTTTCAACACAGGCAACTTAGCCACATGGTTAGTATTAGGGCTGGCGGACGGTTTTCCGGTTAGCGGCTAACCGGTCGGTTTCAACCGAACCGACCGGTTTTCGGCTAACCGAAAAACCGACTCCAATGACATCGGTCGGTTGGCGGTGGGGAAGGGTAGGGGTTCGGCTAGCCGACTAACCGGGGTCGAAAACCGGCGGTTAACCGGCTAACCGACCCCCCCTCCCCTCCCCCAAAACGAGGCCGCCCCCAGTCCTAATTCCCACTAACCCTAGCTCCCCAACCCCTTCCCCTTCCTCCCTCGCAGTCAACCTTCACCTCCCCATATCTCTCTCTCTCTCACACAGCTCGTCTGGTCTCTTCATCACTGATCCCATCATCCATCTTCCCAGTACACCCACTTCCCAGTACACCCATCATCCATTCATCACTCGTCTGGTCTCTTCCCTCACAAATCTCATCATCCATCTTTAATTTTTTTTTCTCTTTACCCCATTTTACCATGCAAGAAATTCCCACTTTTGCTTCTCCCTGCAGCTTCCATCTTTAAATCAAAAGGCCTCTCTTTGCTATCCAGCCTTATTAATCAATCCCTCCCTGCTGCTGCTGTCCTTCTTCCCCACCACAAAAAAGAAACCAAGCAGTCACCAGAAGAAGCAACAAAAATAGCACTGTCCCTCTTCCCCACCACAAAAAAAAAAAAGCCTAACCAATTCAATTTTTAGCCATGGATATGCACGCCGGCAGCCAGCTTGTGATGATGACCACACCGCCTCCTTCCAGCAGCGGCACAGGCACCGCGGCGGCGGCGACGAGCAGCCGGTACGAGAACCAGAAGAGGAGGGACTGTTCCAGCAGCCGGCACAGGCACCGCACCCTCTGATTCGCCTCCTTCCCGGCGCCGCGCCTCGCCGCCGCCCGTCGCCGTGCCTCGCCTCCCGTCGCCGCCCCTGCAGATCTCTTTCCATGGAGAAAGAAGGTGAGAGAAGAAGGAAGGAAGGAGAGAGAAGAGGTCTGATGTGGAGGAAGGAAAGAGAGAGGAGGAGGAGATAAGGAAGGAGTGGTGGGGAAATTTTCTGTTTTATCTAATTTTTTTTTTTTTTTGGAAATTGTATTTTTTTCGGTTGGCCGGCTAACCGAGCCTAAAACCGGAACTGACCGGTCGGTCGGCCGGCTAACCGTGACCTCTCTTCGGTCGGTGGTCGGCAGCTATAGGTGGTGGCTCGGTTTAACCGATAACCGGGTTTTCGGTTTTCGGTTAAACCGAAACCGACCGACTGCCACCCCTAGTTAGTATTGATTCATAAATAATGGATCACATTAACATGTTTTGAGTCTTTCAATGTAACTTTAGAGTTTTCACAAGAACTCCTCTATTTCACCCCAAAACGCGTCTTGTCAATTAAGATCGGTTTCCTACTTATGAACCATGAATCTCTCCCATACTTTATCGATATAGTATTTGCCTAAGGTGTTACAGCTAATCTCTCCCAGTACAACCGCATTTAAAAAAACCAAAGTAGGGCACATTACATTATTCCCCTATTCGACTGATGATTTGGTCTAATATTTGTTCCTTGTAATTTCAGCCCTGTGGAAGGAATGAAATGGAATGGATCAGCGAGAGAATCAATGTTCCTCGAACCCAAGTAGATAGGGAATCTTTCATTGGTGGCTGATTGCTAGCTCTCTCTCTCTCTAAACCTAACCTCCCTCCCTCTCATCATCGATCCTGTGATTATTGTCATCATCGATGATCATTTCATGTTCATGCATGGGATTTGTCAAGTTGTTGTTTTGTTCATGTTATGTTGTGTTTGTCATCAACAGAACAGAACACGCCGGTCGGCGCAATCATAGCCGACTTTGTAAGATCTTGATCCCCCCGCCACCTTCACGTACTCATATAACGTAATATCAATTATCTTATGATTGGGGGCTCTATACTTAACTTAAAATATACATGGAATGGAGGTCATCAAACAAAAATTGTGTCACCTAAAAACTCATCAATTTGGTCTAGTGGAGATGAATTCTATAGGGAAAAAAGGAAAGAAAAGAAAAATGTACAATCTACTACTTGATATGTTGGATTACCCTAGCGATAGGTATAAGTAGCTCGAAAAACATCTCACTCATATGGGCGATAACATATGAGCGTGAATGATAATAAAAAAAGTTGTCCACGTAATTGTTACGATTTACATGTAACTTTATTGTAGGATAGACTCTAAGTACTATAGGGTTATTGATAGAGCAATCAATAAACTGATTCTTAATGAACTTGTTAGAATTGGATCAATTGAAAAAGACTAGTTGGTCAATTGCTCATTTTACAACATTAATCATTTAAAATAAGTAAACTTGAATTACATGCCTTAGCCTAGACAATTATAATTGCCTCAAAATGAGTTGATTCAAAATTTGTCAGGTCAAATTGCTCAATCCAAATTTTATGATGCAAAACGAGTCAATTTAGGTCTATTTTCTCAAAATGAGATAATTGAGTCACATCGATTCGTTAGAAGTGTTCATCCAAACAAAACAACCCCTAATAGCTAATTAATTGAAGACGACAACTTTGTGTAACAATTCATCTAACTCATCTTGTAACAATTCACCCAAATTAATAATGGAAAAAATATATCAGAACTCATAATACATGATGTTGTGGATATTGATTAATATTTGGTTGCAAACTATCTAGCTAGGGAGAAGATGAACATACATATATAACTACTAAACATTAAGTTGAGGACGTAATACAGAAACACAGAGTGTCTGTTCAGAAGTGAACAGAATGGATTATATAATTAAGTCGTAAATTAAACTATCCAACAGTTTTCATATATATCTCAAGCCCCCATGTGATCTGTCTCAGTTAATTAGCAGACACAGCCAGACATAGCAGAAGAAGAAGAAGAAGGAGATGATGATTCATAGGAGTCAGGAATAAGAAGAGTATTTAATCTGAAACCTCGGTGGCCTTTCTATAGAAAAGAGGTCCCTTGTGGGCGCCCTTAGGCCTTAACAACATATAAGAATAAAATAAATATAATTATAACGAGATTTTTTTTGGGAAAATAAAATTAAATCTAAAAAATAAATTTTATATTGTACATTTACAAACGGCGTGTTGCTTCAAATGAAAATTCAATTATAGAGTTTGAAATTCATAAAGACTTGTAATTAGTTGTAACTATAGAGTATAGATGACACTTAAATCGGGCAGTTAGTATCAATTGGGGT